CTTGCAGGCAGTCTCTCTTTCCCTGCATTTGAGATTGTGATGCCAAGCCAACCAAAATTATGGACAATACCGCAGTTCCTAATCATAATGTGTCATGCTTTTGTTTCTCTTACGCTTTGGATGCACTAGGGTGGCAATTGTCTGTGCTAAATAATTTTAGGGTTCTTGTACTTTCCCCGTAATCAGTTTTATGAACAAATGAAGCCTCTCTCTCTCTCTCTCTCTCTCTCTCTCTCTCTGCGTGTGTGTGTAAAAAGCTACCCAGACATTGATCCACGGTGTATTTGCTCTGGTCCAATCCATTCAGCAGGATGAAAGCATGGCTCCTCCTCCTTTTTTCTTTATCCTGCGAGAGATTATAGTGGAACATGCAGATAAAGGCCAGCTGTTGTTCAGTGGCCTGGTTTAAACAAAATCTGCTTTGCTGTGACTGCAGGTCCTTGATTCTTCAGTACAGTATAGAAAAGGTTGGTGTGTGCTGAGAATCAAACGAAGCCAAGATTGGTATTCCAGTCTTTGTGGCAGGAGTCAGACATGTAACAAAAGGACACCCTTTTGTTCAGAAAAAACCCGGAGTCCATTAAGCAACAGATATCTCAGGAAAGGAGACGAGAGTTGAGGTGGGGAGGGTTCCTGGCCCTCCAATGTCAGATTTTCCGCTAAAGAATAAACAGAAGAATAGAGAGAGAGACATGGGAAGTGCATAAATCTTTTGGAAAGGTAACCAAGGCAAGGACAAAAAGCACGCTGCTTTCTGGTTTCTTATCTGTGGCAGTTATGGGCATTGCATGTTGACTGAAACAGCAGCAGCTAGATAATTGAGGGAAAACAGGGTTGGCAAAAGGGTGGGGATGATGATTACATAAATTGCCAGGAGATGAACAGAATAAAGCAAATACCCTGTATGCATATTCAGCATGACACACGCTTAAGTTAACAGGGTGTACAAAGGAAAGCCAGCTTCTATATTCTTCAGAGTTTCTGTGTTTTCTATATTTCATTCCGGAGACTCAAACCAACCAACCCTCCTACGTTGATAAAAGATCTGTTGCTGGGGTGGATCTGTCTATGATAAAGCTGGCAACACTTGGTAGGGATTTCACATACGCTGAACTTGTGCTAGAACTATATGGGAACATCATTTGTGGGGACTGGGAAACAAATAGGCTTCCACAGGTCTTGGGCATGGAGAAGAAGTATAGTTCAGTGATACAGCACATGACCTTTCCCCCTGCCCCCTCAGATTGTAAGTGAGATGTAAATGGTATGTGCATCTGAGAAAATCACCTCAAGTGTCATTGTTTTGTATTCAGCATTCGAAATTCGCCAGGAGCATTCTGCACCTGGTTATCAACCATTTTGTGACCAAGCGCCAAGATGGCGCCTGATGTCTCCCACCATCTGGAAGTGCATGTTTTCACACATCAGCAACATATCCTGTAGTATTCTATCCATTGTATTTAATTAGCACAATCAGAAATAATTTCAGGAAATGAAAGGTTGTGTTGAAAAATACAACTTTCAAGCCGTCTGGCCCCAAAATGGCAAACAGGTGTTCCTTTTTGGCGGCTGTAACCCTGGTTTAAGGAGCCATTTTGCGCCTAGCTTGTATATCTGAGTTTCTAGCTCTTATTTGTTTGCTTGTTATTTGCATCTGTAAACCTCCCCATATCAAGGAAGATCTCAGGGAGGAGAGCATACATAATAAAAAGCATAAAGCAATTAATTTAAGCATCGTTAAAATCGCATTAGATCAATAAAAACTATCCGGAACAATTCAGCTGCAGCATCTGAAATGGTCATATTCATTCCCAAATTCCTCTGTAAGCAGATGTGTCCTAAGCTGTTATCTGCAAAACAATCAGTGAGGGAGGCAGACTTAAAAGAGAAGCTGCAAGCAAGTTATTAAGTATGCCTTGATTAAGAAATGGAAGGGTTAAGGCGATATGCTTCAGATCTTGCTTGCCTCCGGTTGTTCATCCTTTGAGCAAGCTGTGTCTGACTGCAGCTAAAGAGATAGTGGCTGTGCCCCGTAATAGTACATTTCTGTGTTTGTTCCTGGGTTTCACTTAAAGCTGGTCCGTGTGTTGCCCCTTTGGAAATGGGTGCATGTGCAGCACTCTGGCAGCACCTCCGTTGTACATCAGGCAAAATGTGCGACTCAACGTGCGGCTACAGCTGCGCTTACGTTGGCCTGGATTTTTGCAAACCTTCCACCTATTTTTGGAAGCGGACAAACAATGGAAATAGGCCGTATATCTCACATTGTGTGTTGCTGGGTAACACACACACACAGGTTAGGTGTCTGTTGTACACATAGTATTTCTGGATCGTAAATGTGAATCGGCCCTCCAAGAGAGACAAAGCAATCAAGGGCAGCTTTTGCTGGTGCTTTTTAAAAAGCAAACAGTTGTTTCTGGAAGTACTCAAGTTATATAAGAATGGCATGGAAGTGAAAGCAAAGTACAGTGGCATCTTTGGTTACGAACATAATTTGTTCCGGAGGTCCGTTCTTAACCTGAAACTGTTCTTAACCTGAGGTACCACTCTAGCTAATGGGGCCTGCCGTGCCGCCGCCACACTATTTCTGTTCTCATCCTGAGGTAAGGTTCTCAACCCGAGGTACTACATCCGGGTTAGTGGAGTCTGTAACCCAAAGTGTTTGTAACCCGAGGTGTTTGTAACCCAAGGTACCACTGTAATGATTATGATTATTTATGAAAGGAGTCCAGGGTTGCAAATGTAATAAAGGCCCTTCTGGATCCAGGGTTAATGATATACCAATATATCATGATGTCTGAAATAAGGATGGAACTACGCAGAGGCATTGTCTAGCTTCACAGTTTTCCCCGTACACACACACATACAGTCATACCTCATGTTACGTTTGCTTTAGGTTTTGCGTTTTCAGGTTGTGTCCTGCGGTGACCCGGAAGTACCGGAAAGGGTTACGTCCGGGTTTTGCCGCATGCGCAGACGTGCAAAATGACATCATGCGCAGAGGCGGGTTGTGTTCTTTTCAGGTTGCGAACAGGCCTCCGGAACGGATCCCGTTCGCAACCAGAGGTACCACTGTATCATGATTCACGATATATTGCCAGGTCAAAAATTATGAAACCGATATCACAATATGGACTCCAAATCAGTTTGGGTCAATATATCATCCAGCCCTACTTTATGCTCAACATGGCACCTGGGATTTAGTTCTCAATGATGTGGCATAGTTTTTGTTTGGGCTGTATGTACCACTTCAGATTGGTGGGCAGAGCGCTCCTCATGGGACAATGCTCCTTCATTAATTATTTTTCATATCCTTCTACATGGGCAACTACCAGGTTAGGGAGAAAGTTTCTAGTCTAGTTGACTCAGTGGCATATATTACTTTTCTATGTAGAATAAGTTTTGTTTAATGAATAATAATTCAATCACACAAGCCCCATCTCAAGTGGTATAGTCCAGACACAGGTTTATCACCTCAGTTAGGCCTTGGACAACATCAGCAATGCAAGGTTTTCCAAATACTGTTTTGTCGCATTCCCACACTGCTTTCTTAAATTATAAAAGATCCCCTTTGTGATTTGATAGGATAAAAAGCATATAATATGTTGCTAGGGCTTTTGAAAGCTGGTGAGTAGCATCCCTTAGCACTGGCTTTTTCCACATTTTATTAGTATGGACTAGCTGGGACATTATCAAATCAAGTTTTACTACTTCCTTATTGACACTGAGAACTGGAGGTTGACTTCCAGTGGCATGCGATGGCTGCTTTTGTGAAGGTTTTGGAATGTAGAGGATGCACTGAAGGAGAAATCAACAATAGCTTTTTAGCCATGGTGAAATGCTAGCTTCTGTCCTGTTAGGTAAGAACTAGTGAATTAAAGCAATTTATGACTTCCTTGTCCAAAGGGTCTTCATCAAAAGGACTTGCTGGTAAATATGGCTGGATGCTTTTAGTTTTTTTATTGGCTATCTGTTTTCTAAACTAGAACCTAACTAGCTGGTGGTAGAATACTGAGCTAAGTGCTCGGTTGTCTGTGGATATGAGTGGGTCTGGGTGAAACCTAGAGGAAAGGAAGATTTAGTGAATAAATGAACCCTTTTGGGGTGCTAGATTTCTGGGAAACTTCCAGAGCTTACGAGGCTACTGCAGAGGCCAGTTGCTATACTAAACAAACACATGACTTTGCATCACTTGTGTTCATTTTCTGTACTTAAGTGTGAGAGTCTGGTTGACTTCTAAGGCATGTCTATATACTTTTTTTCTTGCACAAGTGAAAATTCTCCTGTGAGTCACCATGATCTGAAGTTACTGGGTTTTTTTTGCCCTTGTTACTGTTTTCTTCTTTTTATTTTAGGGGTAGTCTTATAACTGTTTGAGTTAATAATAATTAAAAAATCACTTTCTGTCAATTTTTAAACAAATACCTTAAGCAAAAGGAAACAAATACCTTAAACTTGAGAAATGGGGATTGTGTCTATTGGGAAAACCATGCCTTGGAGGGAAAACTTATTGGGTTATGAGTTACATTGGTATCTTTTCAGTGTAGTCTTTAGCTGTGTTTATGAAGCACCTCAAGTGTTGTTCTTTTTTTAAAAAAAGTGTAAAAAAGTAATGGACATGATAGGCTTTGGTTTGGCTTATGTAGTTCTCTGCAAGCCAACGGTTTTCTAAACTAAAAACCACTGGGTTCTGTTTTCCAACAAGTCCAATGAGAGGTGTGAAAGGAAACTTCTGAAATAGTCAGTGCCTATCTTAAACTCCCTGGATATTCATTTGCCGGACCAGCTTCTGGCATTTTGGGAAATACCTGGGCCGTTTCCCAGTGCCTGGAGAATTTCAGAAGCTGATGTCCATGTACACATTATCTCCCTTGACGGGCCAAGAATTGAAAAGAAATATTGTGAGCATTCTTGAATGTCCTTTGTCTTGGTGCAACAAGGCAACAGCGTAGGTATTTGTCAGTGAGTCTAACTGTGGCCTGTCTCTTCTTGCCCCACAGGACTCGAGTAAAATTGGAGAGCCTCGAAGACGCTTACATTTTGCGAGGGAACGATGACTCCCTTTCTGATAAGCATGGATGCCCCGCCTACGTGAGCCCAGAGATCTTGAACACAAACGGCAGCTACTCTGGCAAGGCGGCCGACGTGTGGAGTCTAGGAGTCATGCTGTACACCATGCTCGTTGGACGCTATCCCTTTCCATGACATTGAGCCTAGCTCTCTCTTCAGCAAGATCCGCCGCGGGCAGTTCAGCATTCCAGAGACTCTATCCCCCAAGGCGAAATGCCTTATACGTAGCATTCTGCGCCGGGAGCCCTCAGAAAGGCTGACTTCGCAGGAAATTCTGGACCACCCTTGGTTTTCTACAGATTTTAATGTGTCTAATTCAGGATATGGTGCTAAGGAAGCAACGGATCAGCTGGTGCCTGACGTCAACATGGAAGAGGACTCGGACCCGTTCTTCAACTGAGCGTCGGGGACTAGTGTTTTGGGTGCTGCGTGGCCAGGAAGGGACAACATGAAGGGAGTCCTTTCTGGCCGTGCAGAATTATATCTGTGTCTCAGCCTGGCTTGATAGCAAGAGAGAGAGAGAGAGAGAGACAACCTGGAGTTCTTTTTTTTTCCTGGTTGGAGAAGGAACGCCCAGTAAATGAGCTAACACCACAGATGTAGCATGTGGACGGTTTAGATGGGAGGAATCGTTGCTATTCAGTTAGATTGACATAGAAAATAACGGAGGCGGCAGCACACAGAGAGACTGTAGCTTCTCATCTTTATGGAGCCAAGGACACTACGCATCCCAAGTTCCAGTGCAGCCACTAATCCACTCCTGATTCCGTTTCGTTTCATGTATTTACAGTTCCCAGTAAATAGAAACTTTTGCCTCAACTTGCATCTTGGCATCGCACTGTTAGATATTTAACTTCAGCCATTATTCAGGGAAGGTACAACTAGCTATTATTTTATTCTTTGTTTTCCTGGATTATTTCCCCCCCCCCAAAAAAAAATCTGATGTTTAATAGTTACAAGTGGGATTCATTTTCGTCGGGCGGGGCGGGGGGTAGCGCACAAAAAGGAACACACGAGAAGTGGGTGCTAAACCATGCCTTTTGATAGGTTCTAAAGTTCACGTTTCTCCTAGATTCCTTATTTTATTTTGGGCCAGGAGGAATTAACATTTAAAATGTTCTTTTCCGCATCCCTTGAAGGGATGAAAACTCACAAGCTCTTCAGGGTTAGTTTGATTATTGTTATTATTATTGGTCAAATGGCTTTGTGGCAGGAAGCAGTTACAATTCAGACATTCAGATGTATTTGACTTTTTTATTAGCAAAACCGACAACAACGAAAAAGAATAATTGTCCATATTTGGGGTTATGTGTTTTTCTTCTTAACCGGGATTGGAAACACTGGCTTCCACTATACTGCACATAAATTTTGACCACAATATTTGGGGAAGGCCACCTTTGCATCACCTAAAGAAGAAAAAGGGGGAAAGCCCTAACCCTGTAAACAAATTTTCCTCTGACACCCCTGAACATGATCAGAAGAGCTCTTTATATTTGAAGGGAAAAAGGCACCCCTACACTTACTTTGTGGAAAGGCAATGACTTGGGTTTTCTTGTTTCCGTTTTCTAAACAGGATACTGTTTATAATTTTCTTCTCATTGATCTATTAATAAGCTGAATATTACCACGACACAGATCTGTCTTCTAAAAAGTACACGGTAATATGCACCTTTTTGTATTGTCAAGACTTATTTATTGATTAAACTGTCACAGTGGTGATGAATTAAGCCAGTACTTAATTACGGGTTGACTTGGGGGTGACATGTTACATGCTGTAGTTAACACACTTCTGTTTTGCTCTTCAGGTATTCCTGTCCCTAAATGATAATACTCTATTTTTTACTATTATTTTAGCCCGCCCACCCAACGCCACCACCTTCCTTAGAGAGCTTTCATTTTGATTTAGACTGGCAAATGATTTTTATTACTGCTTTTTATATTGCTGTATGATATTGAGGGGGGTGTTGGGGTGGGTGGGGACACAAGAAAACAAACAAAACAGAGATCTCTTGGCATAAATATTTGTGTTTCCAGTACCTCAGTTGTTCTGATGTTACTGCCTGTATGCGTTTTTTGTGAAGTGGTCATGTTTTTTGGATAGGTACACGTGGACTCTGTAGTATGTAAATGTTACTTGAATTTCGTGCTTAATTATAGTTATGTGGCATGTGCGTACTTGGCATTTGACGTATGGATGCTATACACCTGCTCTCGCAGGGAAGGTTTCGATCCCACTCTCAAGTTGATAGTTCCACAGTTCCTTATCAAGAGACAAAGCTGCAGCTGACCTGCCTTGGTTCTATTTTGGTATCTTAAGAATATAAAGGAGTAATGTTTTTACACTCTGAAGATGGTGCTGTGTTGAGGGATTTCTTCTTTTTTAAAAACAAACAAAACAACAATGTTTATTATTTTATAAACTTGTAGGAGGAAAGATTGGTGATGTGCATGGTGGGATTTTACTGCCTCTGGTGCTTTGTCTTGTATTTGGTTTAATGTTTTTTGTCCTAATCTCTTCAATAAACAAAATTGTGCATATTTAACTAAATTCAACTTGTGAAGGCTTTATTATTATTATTATTAGTTTACTGCCCTATACACACAGGTCTCATTATTAACCCATGAATAGGTAAAGGACTCCTGGATGGTTATGTCCACTCAAAGGCGACTATGGGGTCGTGGTGCTCATCTCACTTTCAGGCCGAGGGAGCCGGCGTTTGTCCACAGACAGCTTTCCGGGTCATGTGGCCAGCATGACTAAACCGCCTCTGGTGCAACGAAACACCGTGATGGAAACCAGAGCACACGGAAATACTGTTTACCTTCCCGCCACAGCAGTACCTATTTATCTACTTGCACTGGTGTGCTTTTGAATTGCTAGGTTGGCAGGAGCTGGGACAGAGCAATGGGAGCTCACTCCGTCACAGGGATTTGAACCGCTGACCTTCCGATCGGCAAGCCCAAAAGCCTCAGTGGTTTAGACCACAGCGCCACCCGTGTCCCTTCTTAACCCATGGCTAGAGGCATGCAAGCACAAGATTCTGAAAATATAAAGGGGGAAGGCCCATAGGAGTAGGGCACATGTTTTGCATGCAGGAAGACCAAGATATAACCCCTGGAATCTTACAAGAACTCCTTGCCTGAAGAGTCACTGCCTGCCAATGTAGACAATGGATAATCTGATTCTGGATAATGCAGCTTCCTGTGAATTTTTCTTTCTTTCAGAAAAACAATCTTAGTTCTGAAGTCAAACTTGAATACTAGACATAAAGACTTGGAATATTTGACCGAATCTGCCTTAGAGCCCCAATTAAAAATGTTGGATTTTAACTCTTTGCTACATGCAAGCTTTGATTTACTTAGAGATGCTGATTTTAAAAGGCTTTCCTTTTAATTTAGAGCATATTTGCTGCATTTCAAAACAACACAGTCCTGTTTATGAAAGGTGCAATTTAGAATCACACACACAGACCCTTCCTCACGAGATGGCTATTAGGTTAAAATTAGTCAGACACATTGTAGTTGTGTGTCGAATATTTTGGCACCAACTGTTGATACAGAGATTCATTCATCCATTTAATTTATTAGTCACTTTGTACAGGGTAATCCCTTTGGCACAATTATTGCTGCCTCTGCAGCGGCCGTCTTGCAGTTTCGTATTGTTCCTCAGAACGGCAACGGGGGGCGGGGGGGCGGGAATCATTAATATGTAAACTTGGAGAGAAATTGGTTTTTAAATGCAGCCAGAGTTTAAATTACCAGAAACTCCATCCAATTAAACTCCTACAATAAATGTGCTTTAGAAAAAGCCGGCTGTGATTCCTTCTTTTTAACAAAAAAGGGCTGCTTGGGCAAGAGGAGTTGAATTTCACCACCACCTCTTTCCAACTTCTCTTACTTCAGCCCACCTCCCTTTGGAGCCTCTGTGAGCAGCTTCTGTTCTGTTTGGGTGGAAATAGTTAGAAGTGTGCCTGTTTCCTTTGCACTGCCAATAATTATATAAAAATGTGGCTGACTAATGGTTGCTCATTTGCAGGGAATTATATTAAACACGGAGGCCTGCTTCGTGCTGGTGTGAGGGAAACCTTTTGGCTAAAGGAGCCAGTTTCCAAATAAGAGGCAGGTTTATAAATGCCTTGGCCTTACGTAGGCCTGAACTTTCCTACGTTACACAGTACTGAGATCTGAGTTGCCACCTATTTTTATTTTCAAAGGTCCTGTGAGGACATACATCATACATAACTAATGCTGATTTTCCTCCATGATTTGTCCAGAAATTCTCATCACCACTAGGTGTAAGGCAGTGTTTCCCAAACTTGGGTCTCCAGCTGTTTTTGGACTACAACTCCCATCATCCATAGCTAGCAAGACCACTGGTCAGGAATGATGGGAATTATGGTCTGAAAACAGCTGAAGGCCTAAGTTTGGGAAATACTGGTGTAAAGGAATGAGTTCCACTTCCCAACCTGCCACATTCACAGGCGAACAGTAAAGTTTACAGGAGCCTGATGCAGTAAGTGTCTTCAACTGCAAGTTAATGGATCCATACCTGCCCTAGTCCTCAGCACTGGAAATCGAAGCAGAAGAGAAGATTTGGTAGGGCTCAAGAACCCTGAAAAAAGCATAGGCTAAGCTGCCCTTCTCAGTACCGCAATGGCATGAGTTTTGCCATAGGCAAGCAACAGACATTATCAGAGACCAAGGACCTCAGTGCTTTTTTTTTTTAAAGAACATATGAGGTTTTGGTCTTCATAAAAGTGCTGTCAGAGCATGATGGGCAACAAAAAAAGAGAGAGGTGAATTGTGTACCACTGAGTACCATCACAAAAGCACCTTCTGCATATATGTGTATACAGACATAACACACTATTTAAACCTGCAACCATTTTTTGTATGTTTGTATACACACACACAAACACACAATTTTAACAAACAAATTATCAATCAAAATAACCAATTACATTTTTTGCCCCTTTTTACCCCCCCTTCCCTCCCTCTCCCACCCACAAAGGACTTCCCTCAGCTCCCCTCTCTTGATTTGTTTGCACATATTATTCTCTTAATGTTTAAAATGGTACATATCATTACCTTATCTACCATATATTCTACTAATAAATTTGTGGATGCTTATTCAAAACCTGAGAAGGAGTCATTTTGTTGTTGTTTTAGATAGTTTGTAAAAAGATCCCATTCTTCCTTGAAGTCACGATTGTCCTCACGTAATTTATATGTCAACTTTGCCAACTCCGCATAACTCATTAATTTTTCTTGCCACTGTCCTTTCATTGGGGTTTCTCATTTCTTGTATGTTTCAGTCAATATTGCTTCTGCTCTGCTGGCTCATGGCAGGTTGCAGATGACTTACAGTAATCCATTCAGCATGACGGCCATTTAAAAAACATCAGGACACAGCTGAGTTGACTTTATACATAGAAATACGTGCCACTAAATAAACTGAAAGAAACGATGGGCTACTTCCAAACCCAAACCCCATATTTTCCAGGCAGATGGCAGAAAGGGGAAAGTATTGGCCAAGGAAGCAAAATAATCTTCAAAATCTTGAAATGATTCTGCACAAACTCTAAAATGCCTGAGTGAAACCCCATGACTAACAGCAAATACCAAAGAAGTTACTGGACATCAGTGTTTTTCTTAACCTTTTGTTGAAGTCTATGAAACGTTCTAGCAAACTCAAGTATTCCAGCAGCTCTTGACTCATCTGTGCTTTCCTTGTCCCCCATTGCAGCAGCTGTGAGGGGATGTTGTTAAATCCACATCCTTAGAGAAGGCCAGGAAAATTAGAGGCAGATATATGTGATTAGCAGCTACAAGATGGATTGTATGTTGATCTAATGAAACCCAGCCCTACACCCTGATGATCTGTACTGGACACAAATATTAATTCCAGAGTCCACAGCTGGGTAAGACATTTATTAGAAACAACCAAAATGTCACAAAAATGTGACAAGCTTCTGAGATCTCTAGGAGTCTTCATCAGGGATGACGTTTCACAAGTTCAAGTGTGGATGGAAAAGGAAAAATAGTAAGACTGGATGTTAACAGCCATGATGTCTGCTTACAGATTAAACAAGGCAGAGATTGCAGTCTGTTTACACATCTGCCTAAAGTGGAGATTACAGGCGAAGGTGAACCTAGAAAATGCCCAGGACCTAGAAAATGCCCTGCACTTGGGATTATGGGATAAAGAATGGCTGCTCCACCCATTTCTTCAAGAAAGCAAAGCCCAAGTTGTAAGTTAAAATTCCACACCTCATATGAGACCCCAAGTTTTTGGCAGGTAGAATGTGAGTATACCACATAAAGCCTATTTCACCTCCAACCCGGTGCAGAGTTGACACTGGATTCCATATCGGGTTGCCACTGAGCCAGAATTTCTCATTAGAGTCTGGATAGAGTCTCATTAGAGTCTCATTATAGTCTAAAACCTCTGGATCCAGCAAGGACTTTGGCTGTCTGTTTGCGTGTTTATGCTGTGCCTCCCACTTACGCTCAACCTGTAAAAAACAACAGCAACAACTCCTGCAAATATTACAAAGCACCAATAAACCTCCAACAACAACCTCCTTTCAAAGGAAAGGAAAGCTGGAAAAGTGCTGCCATCCCCCCTCAAAAACATAACTATGAAACTCTGCACTGCTTGTAGAAGTGCCATGAAGAAAGCACATTATTCTCGTTGCTTAGTGTTTGGGAGTTCAGCCAGCGGAGGAGCTAGCAGCTCGAGCACTCAGAGCGGCACACATGCCATGCACCCGGGGGGCAGGGCAAGCCGCCCAGGGGGGCAATTGGCACAGTGATTGGCATTTCCAGGGGGGTGGTTCGGTGATCCGGAAATACCTTTGAAAGTGACCCGGAAACTACAACTAATCCAGAATGCGGCAGCTAGACTGGTGACTGGGAGCAGCTGCCGAGACCACATAACACCGGTCTTGAAAGACCTACATTGGCTCCCAGCACATTTCTGAGCACAATTCAAAGTGTTGGTGCTGACCTTTAAAGTCCTAAACAGCCTCGGTCCAGTATACCTGAAGGAGCGTCTCCACCTCCATCGTTCTGCCTGGATACTGAGCTGGTGGTTCCCTCACTGTGAAAAGCCAAGTTACAGGGAACCAGGCAGAGGGCCTTCTCGGTAGTGGCACCTGCCCTGTGGAACACCCTCTCACCAGATGTCAAAGAGAAAAACAACTACCAGACTTTTAGAAGACATCTGAAGGCAGCCCTGTTTAGGGAAGTTTTTAATGTTTAATAGACTATTGTATCTTAATATTCTGTTGGAAGCCGCCCAGAGTGGCTGGGGAAATTCAGCCAGATGGGCGGGGTATAAATAATAAATTATTATAATATTATTATCCCCCCAGGGGGGGGGATTTTGTCACCCACCCTCAGGGATGACAACTGGGATGGACCGCCCCCCGCCCCCCTTCCTACGCCCCTGAGTTCAGCAGATTAGATGCTTTTTGTGAGGCTAAACAGTCTGGATATTGCTACTGTGTGTTAGTTTTTTGAAAAACAAACAACAACGCAGCAGCA